TCCATCTCAAAAAAAAAAAAAAAAAAGAGAGATAGAGATTAAATTGAGGGATGCTTTCAGGTAAAGAGAGTGAGGAAAGCAGGATAAAGCCAGGAAAAACAGCAAGGATGTGGTTTCTGCTAAATAATAGCTTAAGCCTGATCTCACTGGAAGCTCTGAGGCACAAACTGCAACACTGAGTACCTCTACATGCAAGGGGGTAAAACTTTCATGCCCTTGTGACAGTTAGGCATGGCCATGAGGACTTGGGATGCTCTCAGTTGTGAGTACCTGACAGCGTCATCACCATTCGTCTAAAGGTGATTCTTTTGAGAAGCAGACAACTATGAAGAGTTGGCAGCCAATATTCACACCTGCTGAAGGACGGGCAAACCTTTGGAAATGCAATCTGGGCAGGGCACAAATAGCATCCGCCACAACTTCAAAAATTTTATCATAATTTCAGAAATTAAAGATACTAGTCACAGAGTTTAAAATTCATTCATGAATGGTTCAATATATATTAAAATAGTGATAACTCATATTCTTTCTATTCTCTTTTTACCTTGTAATTGGACTCCAGTTTTAGAGTGGTGATGACACTCAATTTTGTAGCCTGGTAGGAATCCTAAAACTTGTAGAGCATGCTGTGGAATGGTGATTGATTTCTTTCAGTTTGTTTATCTAACATTTCAAGGAGATTAGCAAATGCAATGTCTGATTCAAATGAAACTTTATTGCTTCAAGCGAAGAAGTCACAATTAGATTATTGCACAAGTAGATTAACACTCTGAACCCCCAACTTCTCCAAAATACTTACGAGTAGGACATGACTAGTAACTACTAATACTAGGCAGCCAGAAGAGCAGACACAATATCTGAGGCTATTGATAAAACTTTTTATTGCTGAATTATACTTTCTGTTTATAATCCATCTGCCAATAATAATAGGTATTCTGGTATTTATTACCCAAATGTATGCTGAATAAAATACATTTTAAAGATTTCAATTCCCCATGTTAAAATATGATAAACTAAGAAGGATTTAATGATTAAAGTGTCAACATAAGCAAAACAAATCATAAAATACCTGATGTGGCAAATAAATAGTAGGATTAGTCTCTGGATTATTGAGAATTCAGGACTACCTGTTTTTTGTTTTTTGTTTTTAAGTCCATTTTAAATAATTACAAACATACTCAGACTTAGCACCTCAACTTCTTCGTGACTCAATCTTAACTCTTCAGTCTTACAGAAATGGATATGGTGAAAAGGGATTTAATAGCCCAACATATAATAGTTTGTATTACTGTATATTTTAAATCAGTTCCACATAGAAGGTAATTCCTTAGCTGATTTACTGGTCAGCAATTTATACCCAAGAAATCTACAAAACTCCTCTCTCAAAATGTACACACAACCAGTCATGGAGGGGATAACATAAGAAAATACATAGGACTGTTAAAATGAACTAAATACGGCCTAAGAAGGACTCTGTACTTCTATATTTGAGTCCTTGTGGGCAAACTGCAACCTAGCTTAATAGGTAGACAAGATTAAAGATCTAACTTAGGAGTACATGCCTGTAAGAATAGCTGAGTCTTGGCCCATCACTACCGCCCTACTTCAACCATTTGTACACTCCTGAGTGTTCAAATTGTGTTCAAATAAGGCAAACACCAACTTGAAACCAATCCAGCCATTCTTTACCTTACTTCCATCTTCCGTATATCATTTCCATTTTTGTCTATAAATCTTCTTCCACCACATGGCTGTGCTGAAATCTCTGTGTATCTGCTGTGATTCTGATAGCTGCCCAATTTGAAAATCGTTCATTACTCAAACTCCTTTAAATTTAATTCAGCCGAAGTGTTTCTTTTATCAGATGGTGTCAGAAGCAGGATCTGTAGTAGAGCTTCTAGAGACCCCCAGGAGTGCTGAGTGAACAAACAAGGTACCTGTGGGACCTTCTTGAGTCCACTGATCTCTCAGAGTGATGGGAATCATGGTAAGATTTCTCTCTCGAATGGATTTCAGAGACAGCTGAGCTCTCTGGATTTGTGTTTTGACCTTCGAGTTTCTTTGAGCAAATTTCTAATCCAAACTTGGTTTGGAAGTCACTACAGAAACTGGGCTGGGTCCAGGAATGGATTTGAGCTGGGAGTTAACTGGTTTGGATCCAGTTAGAGGGCTCCTAAATCAGACTGGGTCAGAAAGGAACTGGTCATAAGCTGTAGTATTGCAGGAGTTATAAAATTTGGCTTTTGGAAATTCATAGGGATTTTTGTGTTCTACCTCTTTGTTTCATTTTTCTTGTTCACTTAGATAGGAAAAATCATTGGCTAAGTTAATTAAGAGAACCTGAGAGTAAAGCCAATATTTTAGGTAAAAATGGGATCCTTAATTTCTAGAAAACTGAGCTCCTTCTGGCTTATACGTTGACCCTGGAAGACAGCGCAGTCTTACAACAACGGTGAAATATTACTAAAGATAACTTACAGTAAAATGTTTCAAATGAACAACAACACATTGAAGTACATTTAAAAATGAGGGCTCTTGGTAAAATCCCCTTCAGCTAAGAATGGGTTCATCACTATGAGATGTTAGCTGCTATTCTCTTTAGAATAATCTGCCTCACACTCTTTGATGATGGCTGTGGGTGACAGGATTTTGCACGTACAAGATCATGCGGCATGGAGAGCTTTTTCCTCTCCAAAAGGGGAAGATTGAGAGCTGAAGAGACTATTGGAAAAGATCCCTTCACTACTGACAAGCAGCTGCCTGAACTTTTCATTCAGTGTCAGCTGTAATGGGTGGGTCTTTCTCTGGCCCCCCTAAGCTCTTCACCTTCCCCACTCTACCACAGGCAGTACTTTTCTTTCTCTACTTTTCCTTTCATACCCTTTCTGTTGCTCAGGGCAACCATCTGGCCCAGAGACTATGTGTTGAAACTCATAGTCTGAGGTCAGATTAAAGATGACGGGGCCCATCTAGGGGCAAATTTAAGCCCTGGCAGTTTGATATTGAGTTCTAAGCAGAGTGGCTTACGTCTATGTTTTATCACATGTATTTTGCTCTGACCAGACCAAAAAAGAAAGATAATTTTCCTTTGTGTTGCAGCTTGGACCCCAGGGCTAATGTGCAGCAAGCCAAGTCACTAGGACCGCTTAGCAAAAGGGAACTCAGAAGCTTGGCATGCTGGCAAAAGGATAAGAATTTCTTATCAGTCAGATTTCTGGTCTCTGTGTGTGTGTGTGTGCATGTTTGTGTGTGTGCAAATCAATTGAATGAATGTATAAAAATCACTGGTTATCTCCTCTGTAAAGTTTTGATTAATGGAAAAAAGGATTTGTGACACTAGTCTTAAGCTGTAGTGAATCTAGTGTGCTTTGTGTGTCTTTCTGTATTGTACTGTCATAAAGAAAGAGGCATTCCTTAGAATAGAACACTGGCTTAGGACACCTGGAAGCCCACTTTTCAAGTTGGCCCAGCAAACTGGCCAGTTACAAACTTTGCTGAAGATCCCTAAAAAATAAAGCAAAACAAAACAAAACCAAAACTGGATGAGGTTGCCCTCTGGTCTTGTATGTCCCTGGGAGCTTAACCTTGCAACCAAATGGCAGTACTTCCTCATTTTACAGTGGTGGCCTGGGTTCAGAGTTCAATTCCCAGCTTAGGGGATGAGTTCTTTATCTTCTGTTGTCTGTGTATTTATATGTGTTTCATGTATGTGATAGTAAAAAAGCTTTAATTGCCTTAAAAACAAGTGAAAATCAAATATTTTGTCAGAAAAGTAAAAAGTGTAATGCCTTTTACTTCATGTGACTTAAGTAATCTTTGAGAAATAAAGACAGTTTTAAAGATTATTGGTAAAATAAAAATATCTCCAAAAATGTAAACATTTGGTCTAAACAGTGCAGGTCAGATACTAAGTTTGCTAAATGCTTTCAATTCATAAACTGCTTCTTTAACTTTTGCAGATTGTTCAATATATTTTGGAGACACTAGATTCTAAATAAGTCCTGTACATACATGGAATTAGCCTTGTCCCCTAGCTATGCAAAGAAGATCATAAAGAAAAGAGAGTTTATATAAGAAAGGATCTTGTATAGTAAATTCTTGTCCTAAGGAAAAAATGACTAGTTGTTTAAAAAGAGGGATGTTTAGAACAAGTCAGAAAAGTCTAAGCATGTCATGGATGGTCTTTGTAAGTCGTGAAAGGATTTGTCAAAGAAAATGTATGTACCAAAAGTGAAAGTTTCTAAGAATTACCATTATAACATGTATTTGGGACTACTGAAAAAAATAGGTTTCCATGTAAGGCATGTGAGGAGAATGAAATGTTTTTTTAGTAAGAGATTATAGGAAGGCATGGGAATGTAAACTTTTGCCTTCTTTAGAGGGTTAAAGGATGGATTTAAATTAAATACTGTAATGCTAAAGGTTTAAACAAGTTGTGAAAGGTTTGTAAAAAATTAACCTTGTAAGAGAAATTTGTTCTGTGAAAAATTTGACTAAATTCAAAGGAGTATTATTTGTTTTTTTCCTGTAAACTGAACACAGAAATAAAAGCACAATGGGGTTTTCTTAAAGCACTAATCTGCTCTTTAACAAAAATTTGTAAAGGGTTATAAATGGTTTATGAAAATCTCACCTTATGGCCAAACAGGTTAAGACTGGATAAATTGTCTATAAGGTTTTATTCAAACTTGGGGTCAGCATTACTAGTCTACTAATGCAAGGGAGAAATCTGCCTTTCTTTCTTGAATAAGATTTTCATGTAATATTAAAAGATAACAAAAGATTTTTGTTTCCTTTTTAAATACATACTGAAAAGGAAGGAAAAGACAAAAGACAGATTTTTTGAAAAGCTAAATCTTTCCTCAATAATGAGTAAAGGTTTTTTACCTTTTAAAAAATGTTTAGGTCTAATGACTTATGGTGACCTAGAATTCTAGTTAATAATATCAAATGTTTTAAACTTTTAACATATTTAAAAGGCTTCCTAAAATCAAATTTCAGCTTCAAAATGGTCTTTTCAGAACTCTAACTTTGGAATGCTACAGACTGCCCCTGAATCACCCTAAAGAGAGGTAAACAGAATTATTTAACATGTTAAGTTACATGGGAACCATTGTCAAAATAAAAATAATGTTTAATCTTTAGGTTATATTTTAGTGAATGATATTAATATATGTTCCAAAATTGCATGGGACTCCTAAAATTCTAATATGCCTTAGTATATGCTATCAATCATAATTATGGTTATTATATTATTTTATACCACAGAAATAACCAAATTTCCTTGTTAACCCAAGTAGAACAAAAAAATTAATTAAATACCAAGAAAACACCTTGGCAGATTTTTGTGTTAAACTAGCATATACTGAAATTGCTTAGATATACAATTTGAACTCTATAGTCTAAGTCAAATTACCGATGATAACCCATTAGTTATCAGTGCTATGCCCCAAAAAACAACTGGTATTCAAGAGGACATAAGTCCAATGTTAAGCATGGATTCATGGAGAACCAGGACAGCTGCCTTGTCCTTCCTGAGTCCTTAAAGCTTTTGTTATTAAAGGTTCTTCATTCCATAACTCATCATGGAAAAGATAAAATATCCAAAGTGAATATATTGATGTAGTGACTCAATAAATTGCAAAAATAGTTTAAAACCAATGTTTGATTCCACACTTCTGGGAAGACAATAAAACCTTCAGGTACATTTCGCTAACTGATGGGCCATTTAAACACTTACAGAAAGATTCCTTGTCACTTTTAAAGTATGTTTGATATTATAATAATTAATTATTATGCCACACTATATTTTCACCAGGTATGGAAAGCTTTTTTATGCTTCACTGAGGACAATCAACCTCTTCACAGTCTAGAAACTGAAGTTGGATGTTCTGAGAACATCAGAGAAAGACTGACCTTGCCATCCACACTGCAACAAAACTTTGGAAGCTTGAACCTTGGGTTTATAATCTCACAACTGAGAAGGGTACCCCAATACTCTTGGAACTGTACACCCATTGGAACCCTTAAGGTAAAACTAACTAGGAAAGTTTCTCCCCAAAAGAAGATGGCATCCTTGATGTGAACAGATTTTCCCAAGATCACAAATCAAAACTTCTACTATCATGAGACTCTTATCTTTGAATATTTTTCCCTGTTTATGCCTCTATGAACAACGGAAATGGAAGGGGGCCTATTATATGCACTTATAGGGTGTACTTTTATTTGTGAAGAATTTTGCATCCAGACTTATATAAATACATTTATACTCTGATAGATAAAAGATGAAGCCCCAGTGTAGGTGAGAAACTTTAGTGGTACATACATTGCCTCATAATCAGTCAAAACTCCTCTTAACCTACATCATAGATTAAAGAGAACACTGTCAGGAGATGCTCACTATTCTACAAGGACATCACTTGTTAGGTCATTTTTCCATGGTTTAGAATAAAAGAGGCAATAATTAGAAATGTATCCTTTTTGATAGGCTCTATAGCAGATTCTACTGTAAAGGCTATCATTAAACAACAGACTTTAAGTTCTTTCATGAAAGTCATTCTAAATAATGTAATTGGCTAAACAGAAAAGTACTTGTGCAGCTGCTGGTACTTATGGCCTATGAAGAAATTTATCAAATGTAGATTATAGAAATTTGGTTGTAGGGCATTAATAAAAAGACCACTTAATCAAGTGAATAGATTCTTTATCTAGCTTATTATTTATTTAATTTTCAGTGGTTTGGTTTATGGGGACCCTGGGTAAGGAGCATACTCCAAACTCTTGGTATTATCCTCCCACTAGTCATAGTAATAGTCCTGCTGATGCACTGTATTCTCTCAAAAGTTTTAAATATTTGCATGCAGGCATCTCTAGAACATCAAATGGTCTCTTTTCAACTGGAATAACAAGAGCTGAAAGAAATGTGTGACCATGAAGATACCATAACCTGTGAATGATGTGCTGAGACAGGAAACCCACAATGATGGTAACAGAGAGTGGAGCTAAGGCCCTAGTTTTGGTCGCATGCTCACCTAAGGGAGAAGCTGACCAAAAGTGGGGATTTTTTTTTAAAACAAAATTATGGAAGACCATTGTTTTGGACTAAGCTCATACACTAGGCCCCAACAGGCCAAACCAAACTAAAATGGAGTCAATCCTGCTAAATAATCATACCAAGACTTTAAGGATACATAGATCTTAGCATATAATCAAACTAAGACTTTAAGGAAACACACAGATCTTAAAACAGACTGGGTTTTGTTTTTCTCCTTTAAACAGTATGTTCCAGCATAAAGAGGTACCCTCTACTCAGTCCTTGTTCTTACCTTTGCAAAACTCACCGTTCTACTGTTTCCCAGTGGGTTTTAAGACCAAATAAGTACATTTACAATGGTGATAGTGACATTAATAACTAAAATTTTAGTCAATTTCTCAAAATTAAGAAAATGACCAAAAGAGGGGAATTGTTAAAGTGAATGAAATATGGCCTGAGAAGGACTCCATACTTCTTTATTTGAGTCCTTGTGGACAAAATGCAACCCAGCTTAAGAGGTAGACAAGATTAAAAACCTAACTTAGGAGTATGCACCTGTAACAAGAGCTGAGACTTGGCCAATCACAGTCACCATACATCAACAATTCATACACCACTGAGTGTTCAAACTGTTTAAATAAGGCAAACACTAACTTGTAACCAACCCAGTCGTTCTGTACCTCACTTCCAATTTCTGTAAATCATTTCCATTTTTTTGCCTATAAACTTTCGTCCACCCTGTGGCTGCGCCGAAGTCTCTGTGAATCTGCTGTGATTCTGGGGGCTGCCTGATTCGTGAATTATTCATTGCTCGATTAAACTCCTTTAAATTAAATCTAGCTAAAGTTTTTTTTTTTTTTAATCAGGAGTAATTATTCACATACACCAGTTAGAGTTATAATAAATACTTGCTAATACTGAATTTAAAGTGGCTAAATGTATACAGAGCTTTATAGGAGTATTTCTCAACAGTATAACATTGGTACTATTGACATTTTGGCTAGATAGTTCTTTATTGTGGGAAGCTGTACTGTGTCCTGCCATGTGTTTTTCAGTATTTCTCACCTCTACCCTCAAGGTATGGAAATATTGTCAAATATCTCAGGGAAGGGTGAAAAATCCCCCTGATTGAGGACCACTGCCTTATTACATGTTGTGTCTGATGATAGTGGGAATTCATTGGTGTTCAGCAATGTTGCTATTTATTACAAGGCTATGTGGGATTTTTTGGGTAGCTGCAGATACATTCTTAGGGATGTTGAACAGTCAAAAAAGGTTGAGTGGTGAAGAAGGCACATGACCAGAAAGAGAGTGTCAAGTCTACACTCTCTTGGGACACACATTGTTTGACCCAATGTGTGGCCCAACTTCTGGAAGTACCTCTGAAACAAAGAAAATAGAAAGCCCACCTACAGTCACAGGTTGTGCTATCATGTTATAAGTAATATGCAGAAAACACTGGAAGCATTGATGTCCTCCAACTACTCCTGATGTTGTGAATCTCAGACCAAATGGACAATGATCTGTAAACAATGCTTCCTATCTGGCCTTTTAAAAACTCTTTCTCTCCTCAATCAAACACCCTCTTCTAATATACTCATGCTAGTTATTTATATATGACCAAAGGCAGCTTCACTTTTTTAGAATCCTTTCCTGACTCCCAGTATAGCTGTTCTTTATGCACAAGTTTCGCAAAACATATGTGTAAAATAATTAGGTTATAGCCAAGAGAATATCAACTTTTCCTTCCCAATATCCAATTCAAATGCTAAAATGCATCTCATAACAGTTTTAGAAATAAAAATTGTTGGGAGATAATTCTCCGTGGGTCTAGCCCAATTCTGCATGTCTTGTCAATTGAGATAATGACTATTTTTATTCTGGATTATCTTTTCACAGATGTTTCTGTAGTGAAAAGACTGGAAATATAACAAAAATGTCCCCAACCAAAGACAATGACAGGCACACTTCCTGTTCAGTATAATAAAGATTCCTCCAGTATAATAAAGACAATGTTTCCCTCTGGAGCAAATATCAGGCAAGCTTACAGCCTACTTAAAAGATCTTGGTTCCCTAAGCCCAGAGATCCTTCACTGTAACACAACTCACTGTGTGTGCAGGTGCACCTCTACATCCTTTCACATCACCCTGTCGGGACTGGGCCTGGGGGAATAAGCACAGAAAACATCAGTGCTTTACTTCCATTGCTGTCAGTAACAGTCTTTTGTCTCATTCAAGAATATTATGTCTTCTTTCACCACACATGTAGCAGTGGCAGGCAAATTTGTATTTTCTCCTCCATGGTGCTGATGCTGTGTATATACTGTTTCTTCATCAAGGCCGTGTAAAGTATAGTGACTATCCATCCCAGTTTACCGAGTCTTTCCTGGTTTTAGCAGTAAAAGTTTCACATCTAAGGAGACACTTTGGTCCTGGAAAAAGAAGAATACATACAAAAATATTCCTTCTCTTCTTTGTTTTTCTTGCCTTTTTCTATGTTTTCTCCTTCCTTCTTTTCTTCCCTCATTCCTTCTTTCTTTCCTTCCTTCTTTCTTTCTTTCTTTCTTTCTTCCTTCCTTTTACCCTTCCTTCCTGCCTTCTTTCCTTCCACCATTTTTCAATTAGAATTTTTTTAAAGGTATCAATGAATTAGCTTCAAGTGTCAGATATCAATATTTAGAACATTAACTGTTGTCTGTGTAATTAATTAGGAAAGTGGTAGAAAGCAATTCATGGTGTTTGAGTAGTTTTAATCTTTATTACCTACTATTCATAGATAACTTTTTCATATGTAATAATTCTATGTCCTAAAATTGATTGTATAATTGTTTTTAAATATTTGTTGCTAATCCTTGTGGTAGGGTTTGATCCCTCACCCCATTCATAAAGCCTGATCATGTGATTTGCAGTTCCTCTTTCTGCAGGGGAGATTTTACCTGCCCATACCATTAAAATCAGGATTGTCTCTGTGGTTTGCTTTAGCCAAGGAAATATAAGCAAGATAACACATAAGTTTTTGAAAGAGAACTTTCAAGAGCCAGCATGTAATTCCACCATTGTCCTTTGTCATTTGCTGCAATATTAGCAATGTTCCATGTAGACAGATCTAAAACTGGAATCAGGTTATCTGTCTCTTCTGTACATTGATGAATCACACAAAACAATACAAGAATCATCTCATTTTGCTAATACTTTTCTCATTCTCTATCCATTTTACTTTGGGAAGGGAACATCATTCACCACACAGAATAGTTAGCAGTATTGCTGAATACTTAGTTACAAAAGATTGGTGACATCAGAGCAAGAAACACTCTGATATAAAGTTTATTTCTAGATTATGATTCATATTTTTCTCCACGACAACTTCATGTGTTCATGGAAGACTAGGCTCTCAGCCATCCAAACATTCAGAAAACAAAAATAGTTAATATTAAGTGGTGAAGTTTTGAATAAAAACACATTTAAGAGAATCTTGCCAGGACTAATTTATCTAACTAATTGGCTGTTTGATCATGTATAGGTCACAATAGCTTTTGATATTTATTTCCTCATTGAAAAGTGAAGTGATTAAGGTCTTGAAGGTTCCTGCAATTCTAACATTTGATCTCTCTCCTGAGTGTTACTGACTATTATGACAGTAATTTTCCACTTTTATGGAATAAATATGTTTTTTGTAATATCATGTTCTGATAAATTGGGGTTATTCCTTCATTCTCTAAAATCCTTGAATGTTCTGGTTTACATAGTCCATATGTGCAAGTGTTCCTTGCAATTTTTTATGCAAAATATATAATTTAGGGCTTTTTTCAATGACATTATTATTGAGCCAGTATAGAAAGACAAAGTAGCTGAAATGGTGCATGCCGAATATTGTTCTTGAAGATAATTGTGGACACACTTCTATGTAGGGTTCAAACTCTACTATCACCAATGCTTAGGATTGAACGAAGGTAGGTAAGCATTCAGTAGAATTCATTGTATGCCATTTCTAAAGGAACACAGTGGTCATGAGAATCCATTTGAATCAATACTAATTAAGGCTTAAATTACCACCTTCTAAATGCCATGCTGGCTCTCCATGGAGAGTAACAATAGGCTGTATAAATGTAGGGTCCATTTGACTTGTTCTTCACATAATGCAAATCATTCTCATTGTAAAGGAAATTTGCATACAAATGAGAGTACATTTACTTATTTCTCCAGATCATCGAAATCTGAAGACTCCAAGTAAAGTGTTCCTCTAAAGATTGGGAACTAGTAGGAAAATTTCACTCTGATACTGATGTTGGAAAGATTCAACATAAATTAATGAGATTAGCCATCTGCAGAAGTGACCCATTCTAGCAGATGGTTTCTAAATGTGAAAATGATTACACAAGGGTGCTTCTCAAATCTCATTAAAGAGACTGAAATAAAGCCAATATAAGATAAACTGACCTCATTAATTGTTACTTCTTTTATGTAGTGTCAGAAGAAGGTGAAGGCCTGCTTGAAGTCTGATGAGGGAGAAAAAAAAAGCCAAAGGGCCAGAATTTGACACTGGCATTCATTCATGCAACATTTATTGAGCACCTACTTAGAGGCCAAGCATTACGCAATACCAGGCTGATACTTAGAGAATAAGGAAGGCAAATATTTGTATTTGCTTGGCAGATATTTTTCTTTCTGTTGTAGAGGGTTGGATCAAAGTACCAGATTTTGTTAACCTTCCAAATTTCTCCAGTCAAACATTTTCATAGATTTGAAAACTGATGAATTAGTATAAATATTTACCTTATTTCTTTTTTAAAATTTGAGCACATTTAATTAAATTATTATTTTATTGAGAAAATAGTAAGTGAAAGACATTTTGCATAAAGGAATGTAGCAGGAATGGAAGGAAGTAATAGCAAGTAAAAGTAGAAAAATATTTGGAATAAAGTCAGCGTGAATTACATGCCAAGATAAATATATTAGACTTTATTCTGTAGAATACAGGAAAAAACAGTGAAATTTTGAGTTATAATATAAATAGTGATTATGGTTAAACATTTGAATGTCTCCATGCAAAGTTCTAAATTGCTTTCTAGCTTTTAAATTAATCCATTGTTATTTGGATGAATATACTAGCACATGAATATCCCTAGTTAGATTGATACGATCAATATCCAGATTTTAAAATACTGAGAACCAGGCTCAGGTCCCATGACGTAAATGTATCATGGAGTCATAAGATAGCAAAAAGTTGTTGATAGACATTTTATCCATCCTTTTTCTCCGCTAAACTATGATAAGGACCACATTTTTAAAGTTAAATTATCACTGCATTAAAAACTGAATTTCGCCAAACTATGATACATTTAGTGAAATAATAATTCTTCATTAAAAGAAAAAAGCCTTTTTTCCTCCTCAAAGCTACTAATGGTAGATAATTACTTTATTGTACATGTATTCTCCTTAGAATTTGCAATTTCATATACTTTGAGACTGGAACATTGTTTCAGCAATCTTCTTCCTAATGAAAAACCTATCTTCTGAGAGTAAGTTTTTAAAAATATATTTCAATTTGTGCGTCAAGTCAGAGATTAGAGTTTTAAAGTCCTTCTCTATTTGTTTCCTTCAAGGAGGAATTTTTAACATCAGTGATGTTAATAATTCAACACAGCTGTTTTCCTTAGTCATATGCATCCCTGATTCGATTAGTGACCAAGGTGTCAAGTTGTATACCCTTAAAGACTGTTTTGGAGAGGCCTATACTAGACATCCAAAAAAGAAAAATGACCACCTTATTTACTAACTTTGATGTTAATGGAATTATTTTTCCTTTCTTATGATTACTTGATTGAACTTTTAAAA